CTTCGCACCGCATTAAAAAAAAAAGTAAACTCGCGACGGACTACATATATGCTCTGCTTCGCACCGCATTAATTATAGAAGATTTACATCGACGTAATTTTCATTTGTTCGATTGAATTTTGATGATTTGATATAATTGACATAGTCATGTGTTATTTGATGATATGATTTGTTGTCTGTATAAATACTATTATTCTAGTATAGGTACAAGAACAAACTTGGCTGAAACTTTTCGAGTAATTTCAGTATCGATTATTTCTTATGTGGTAAAAGTTCAGAAATACAATATAATTATCTTAATCATCATTGCAAAAGACGATAATGTATTTAACATATAGTAGAAATATTTAACAATGAATTGAATTGAGGCAGTTTTTTCAACAGTTATTCCCATGAAGTTTTTCCTGTTTAATCGATAGTGATATACTTGTAACTAATAACAGAAACAACGGAGATATTGGTATCCTATGGTTGGTCACACCCATATTTCAAAGTAAGTAATTCTTTATTTGTTTAATTTATAATTAAATTTTATTTGCTAAAAGAGAAGATAATCAATTAATAAATTGAACATAGACGAACGAATTATACTGATCAAGTTTGTTGCTTTCAAATATGATGCATTCGACTATTATAAGTTCTTTTTTGTCTTATAGACAACATATGCAAATTTCATTTGATATGAAAAAAGCATGTTTAGTTTTTTGTTTTTATTTTCTTAAATAAATATGAAAAATGATGCTACTGAAACATCCAACTTTTAAACAAAGTATTATATTTTGTCAATGTGATTATAGACATAATAAAATTCAAGAGAGATTTTGTTTTGAACAACCTGTTTACTGACAACTTTAGGATTAACTTAAATAGAATACTATGTAGATGTGTTAAAAGCGCAATAATAGTATCCCTGGATGAAATGTTACTTAACTATCAATTGTTATATGTATCTATATACACATACATATATAAATACGTGCGTATGTGTCATTCTTTTTTTTTTCTCTTCTTAATCGTTAAAACATAGTATATTTTGAACTATTATCTTCTAAAAAAAAGATTAATAATGTCGGTATCAAAAAAAGAACCAATTAATGATATTGATATGAGTCAGCATGGTATATCAAAGAATCGCTTAGCAACGACGGGTGTAGGTCCATGTATTGGCTTTATCGCCTTTTTAAATAATGGTGAAGATATTTTTATCGAACATCTAAGCGATGTTAGTCGTCCAATGATAATGAATCTTAACAGTGTTCGTGAATATTTCGAAGACATTAGTGAACATATTGATGACGCATTTTCACATGGAAATATCACGTATGTTAACTCAACAAGACGTTAAAAAACTTACATATTGAGTTATTAACTGGATAAAATGATAACTGCTATACAATAAGCGCCCAAAAAAATCACGTACATTTTAATTTTTTTTACATATACAGGGCGTCCCATAAGTAATACCCCAATTAGAAATTTTAATATCTCCCCCAGATGTCGACCGAACGAACTAAAATTTTTATTAATGATAGAGACATACTTAGAATTTTTTTCTTAAGAGACAAATCGACAAATCACTGTTCCTATCATCTAATAAGGTCGATATCAATAAGGGTTTTTTACTTGCTACGAGCTCTACAAAACCTATTGAAAAATATTTCCATTCCCATGTAAACATTTTTACCCAAAAAAATGACTATTAAATACTTTCAATAGTATGTTTTAAGCAGGACAAAGTACTTATAAGTGAACCTTTTTAAGTACTTTTCATACTTTTTGGCTAAAAAGTACTGTTAAGTGCTTTTGAAAGTAGGAAAAGTATGAGAAAGTACTATACAAAGTGGAAAAATTATCAGGAAGTACTATAAAAAGTGAAAAATAGTAAAAAAAGTTACTTTACTTTACTTAATTACTATTAAAAGTATTAAAAGTGACTTTTAGTTTACTTTTTGTTATATGGGTTTGGACCGGATTTTTGCTCAAGAAAACAAACATCCGGTCACAATGGAAATATTTTTCACTAGGTTTTGTAGAGCCCGTGGCAAGTAAAAAACCCTTATTGATATTGACCTTATTAGATGATAGGAACAGTGATTTGTCGATTTGTCTCGTAAGAAAAACATTCTAAGTATGTCTCTATCACTAGTAAAAAATTTTAGTTCGTTCGGTCGACATCTGGCGGAGATACTAAAATTTCTAATCCGGGTATTACTTATGGAACACCCTGTGTTAGCTCCATATGTGTAGAACGAAAGAGAACAAGCAGTGTCACTGATGTTATGTGACAGAACGATGAAAAAGATGACCTTCATGGGACTCGAACCCATACCTTCTGCTATCCGGGTAGATGTCCTAAGCCAATTAGACTAGAAGGCGCATCTTAATCATCGTTTAGCGTCCAAGTGATTCATCATGGACGCTAACACCCTGTATAACAGTTATAAAAAAATAATTTTTTTAATATTGATACTACCACCGCATATAGCCAGAATTCATTTTTTATGGTTGAATTGTTTTTGTAAAAACTAGGACCAAATTGAGATGCCTGTTTTTTTTTTTCTTTAAAAAATATTGTTTCCTCCTCTTAAAAGAACCAAAATACTGGAAACCCTGTCAAAAAATGTCTTTTTTTGCCTAGTGCAAATTTTGCAAGACTTGTCAAAAATTAATAAAATATTATTTTAAGAAAAAATAAAAGTAAGCATTCCGATTTGGTCGTATTTGTTACACAAAAAATTTCAGCTCAATCGGTTGTACCGTTTAGGAGAAAAAATGGGAAATCTTCAATTTTTTGCATGAAAATTTGACATTGGAAGAAATGCAAAGGTGCCATTTTTCGACTTTTTTAGCATTAAATAGAATCTTTTAGCAAGTTTTTGATATCCAAAAAAGGGTTTTGACTTTTCAAAATGTGTTCATTAGATAGACGACATTTAAAAGTATATATTGAACATAAAAAATGAAAAACAAAAAAATTGAAAATTTTGGGTTAGAAAAGAGGGTATTCTTAATTCTTTAAAAGATAGATGCATATCTCTCTCTTCCGAAGATTAATCTTAAGAGAAAAAAAAATTCTTTAAATATAAAATAAAAATTTTTGTTAGAGGTATTATAATTTTGGGTGGATATGGTAATGTAGAAGAGTTTAAGGATTTTCAAAAATATATTAATCAGCTAATTGATAGAATATTCAATACAATGCAATGAAAGATGCTGGTTTAAATAAAAAAACAAATGTTTGTACAACAATGGAAAAAATCAATCATTACCAACAATTGTTCACCAACGTGATATGTAATGATGTGTGCTTCAACTTAGGATGTGGATCAGATAGCATGGCAGTAATTACTGGTGAATCTTACTTGGATTTAATTGTAGATACACATATGGGCGATGGTGAACGTTTAGTTGTCGTTGTTCAAAGAGTCCTAAAAGTTGCTAAATCAAATGCAACATCAAACATACTTATCGGTGTTCTGGCTGTTGGCATAAAAACCAATAATCGATGGTTTGCTATTGATCCATCTTCAACTAAATATCATAAAAGTATTTTAAAATAATTTTTTATCGTTGAATGAAGAGATATTAAATATTTAAAATAATCATTGATAAGATGAACACCCGCAGTAAAAGATATAACAGATACTATATCGAATATTTACTTTCAGAGGAAAAAAAAATAATATACAATCTGGTTTAATGAAATAATCTTATTTTGGTCACAAAAGTTTTTAGTTATTGTTCTGTATTTCTACTGGTACTAGAATATTAATTATTATTCCTTCTCATAGTTACTTAATATTTTCAAAAGAAAAAGGATATAAATGAATTAACTTTTCGTCTAATATAGTCTAGAATATTGGATATTTCTAAAGTTCTACTATACTTATTTTCTCAGAAAATTATTATACATAGGATGATCCAAAAGTTCTCGGAACATCTATTCTTTTATTGAATGAACGATGTTTTCAAAAATCTTATTTCCTTCAATAATTCGCGTATTCAATCTTATCTATCATACAAAGTTTCAATCGCGCAATTCACTTGTGCAGTGTTGTTCGACGATAATTATGCTTTAGGACATATGCCTCCTTGTTTACGACTTTTTATAAAGATTTGGAATAAGAATAATCCCCTTTTTGTCGTTTCAAATAACTAAATAACCAAAAAAAGATAGTACAGAGTCAGAAAAATAAGGTGAATGCTGCATGACAATTCCTCCGTGTCTCTTACAAAATACTTTAAGATGATTTATCAGTAGGCTTCAATTTACACACTCTCGTATTTTCGGATTAGCTTGATCTGGTATCCATCTTACACACAACTTTTTCAATTTCAGTCAATCATGAATCATTCAGCTAATAGTAACATACGACAGACTATCTCTAAGCTACATATTTCGAGTACTAAGATGTAGATTTTCCTTAATCAAAGCGAGAACGAGTGAAATTTCTCATCAGTAACTTCGGTTACTAGTCTGGCGATTTTTGACATGTCCTCTAAAGAGGATTTTACCGTGTGATAAGCCTTAGTTCCATTCAGGTACCATGCTGCACGATACTTAACCTCCACTTCGTACATCACACATTTCTTTATGAGTTTGTGTTTCTGTTAAAACGAGTTGCAGCCTTGTTAAGATCTAGTATCGAATAAGTGTTATTTTCATTTGAATATACAGTGTTCAGAAAAAATAAGCTGGAAATCCACCAAAAGCGAATAATACGTTTTCAATGCCATTAATTAATTAGTAAGTACTGAGGCTATTCAAATATAAAAAATGAAGTCCTTCATTGCATTAAACAGCGAGAACCAAGAACAGTTTCGGGAACTTTTGGATCACCCTATGTATATAATGATAGTAAATATAATATTCCCATGCTTAAAATAATTCTATTTTTGTGTGAGAATAATTCCGTCATCAAGAAATTGATACCAAATAAAGAATAGCAGATTTAATAGATCTTTAAATAGTCTTATAATTAAAGTCACTTTAGTTTTTGGCTGCAGCATATTTTTTCAGAACAATTTCTGTTCGAATATTATTTGTTTCTATTTATCCTAATAAAATAAAGATCATTTATAATTATTTCGTGACAAAATTTAAGAAATGAAATATTAAATAAAAAAGAAATATTCCTGAGACTTTCAAGAATATACTCATAGTGCAAAGAACAACAGTATTAAATTAAGTTATACTGTTTTAGAAAATACAAATAGTGGATATACCAAGAAAATAATCGGAAAGAAAGCTCGTTCACTAACAATAAGATTTATTAACAGTAGTTGTTGTCAAATGATCAATGCTAATTAATTTGACTATGATTGAAAAATTCTATGAAAACTTAAAAACCATATGAAGTTTTCAAATTTTTCATTCATCTTAAGATTAATATATAAAAATTTAACAAAGTTAAATGACAATTACAATATGCTTTTAAAACAGATGAATGTAACTGTCAAATTCTATATATCACCCAATAGCAGTAAAGAAAAAAAAATCTAAAAAACAAACAAATATCTTTCTTAATCCTGATGCTTAAAAACTGTTTGTTAAAGGATAAATCTCTTAAATTTGTTTCAAATAGTTTGCTAGCTAATTGCAATATTGATTAGATTATACATATAGATACAAAGTTGAACTATCCTTTGGTTTTTACTTTACACATTAGACAGATAAATTTAATTCAGATTTATTTCTGAAGATAATCTGCTAGATTCTTTTATAATAAGTATTATTCAACTTCACTTATTTTTAGATCAAACAAAACAAGAGCTCAATTATTTGGTCAAAGTAGTCGACCACTTTCATTCGCATGCTTCAGGTCTTGGTTGTGTGAACGTCTTTGGGGAGATGGCGGTTCATTTATTATCTTATGGAAAATCAATGTTAGAAAAAACAGAAGCCAACGATACAAAACAAGAATCATCTTAAATATGAATATATTCAGAAAAAATAATATATATATAACATCTAAAAAATAAAGATTGAAAAAGACGTTTCTATATTTTCATCAGTTAACAATGGTCAAGAGTAGAGTCCTGCAGGACAGTCCTGAATCCCGAAAAATCCCACTTGTTCCGGAAATTTTTCGGGCCGGCACAAACGGGATCGGGACAAAATAGAAAAAAACCGAAGTCCCGAACTTTTCTTTGGTCGGTTATTAAAATATGTCTTAAACTTCAATTGTTTAAAATTTCTTATAAGAAATAATCAATGAAGCGTTGGCTTATCTACTAATCATGTAAATCTGGCTTCCGATTCAGAGTTTTTGAAAATATAGACATTCTCATAAGATTCAGCTTTTCTAAAATATAGAACTTTTTCTGGAAAATTACAGAATTATAGGATTGCGTTTGGTATTGATTCTACTGAAAAGTGCGGTGTTAATGACTTCGTTAGTTAAAACCTTCTTCAATATCCTCAGTATGGATGAATGAACGCGAATCACCGCACTGATCTTCTCTCTTTCTTTTAAATTAAAAGGTTAAAATGAATATTGTTATCAGAAGATCTACCTATGAAATATTTAGGCAAATATCAGTATATAAAAAACGAATCATAAACTCTGATAAATGAACAAATAAAAAGTAAGTATTGCTTTTCTAATCAGATATAACTAATACAAAAAATGGTCAGTTATACATATATATCATTTATATATTGCTTTTGAATGAGAATCATAAAATAACATCATATACATCAGCCATTGCATAATTTTTTCGAATGTCTGTTAATGATAATATTAAACAATTTTTTGAACAATTATTCATTAGACCAAAAAGGAAAAATCGCTATTCAAAATACTTGTCATTCTTGTACGCGCGGTTGTCGAAAAATTTTGTCTATAATCGAATACACATGTTATCGATTGGTAACTTATGTACACAGTATAAGTCAGATGAATAACTAGCATAGGAGCAAAATTAGGAATTTAAGCGCACCTCATCTAGAACGACTGTGTCTAAGTGCATTTTAATAAATTTTCACACATCAAAAGAAAAAACGCGTCATGGTAATGTTCTACTTGAACATGATAGAAATTTTGCTAATGTGTTCTAATCAAACAAAAACTCCATAGCAGAATCGATAAAATCGAATCTTTCACGAAGTAGTTTTAATTCTGGAGACACTTTTTCAAGAAAAAGCTGCTAGTATAATCCCTGTAGGACTGAATGTGAAATATGATGGAGGTTCTGTCACTATAAGAGTGAAAGTAAGCGACTGTCATGGTCTGAGATGTTCCATGGTTACCTTTGTTATAGTCAGTGTTAACGCAGAAACATTCCTAAGACTTCTGTCACGTCGGTGAAGGAAGTCCAAATTTCTACTTCTGTGTACTTCAACACTCGTTGTAAATCGTATTTTATGACACTGAAAAAACAGTGCAACAGTGAACAGTTTTTCCACCTGATCACATAAGAACGGTCTTTTATCTTACTATTCCAGAACTGTATAACGTATCAGTTGCTATTCGTTTAGCTATTCGTCTTATATTTAGTTTGTTTGAATTACTTGCTGAAAGAATACAAAAGCTGCGTCTAGCAAGAATCCCAAGTGTCTAGACGCTTTTCTGTTCTCTTCGACGAGAGTATCGGAAAAAAAGGGAAAGGTAGTTGAAATACAGGACAAATAAAGGGCTTTCTAAAATAAATAAGATTTACAGGAAATATAGGATGAATCTAACCTAGTGTAAACACGTGCATTTTTGTCTATTAGTGTTGCTGGGAAGATGTATTATCTTCATTCGCAGACTGACATCGTTATATTTTTTTGATCAGCCGGACAAACGGCATTTTACGGGATAATTCGAAAAATTTCGGGACGGGACAATAAAAAAGTTTGTCCTGCAGGTCTCTAATCAAGAGGCAACAAACATTCTTTATATAGTTACGTTTGAGTTTAATTGTTGAATAATAAAATCATTTTAAAGTATAAAACAAAATAGATTGAAATCGCGATAGTTTTAACTACACAGAGTCCTAAACAATTATAAAATCGATTGTTGTTATTACATTGAAGAAAAAATCCTGATTTGATTTCTGAGCAAAGTTTTATTTTAAGTTGCAAACATGAATTTGTTATTAAGCGTTGGAAATGAATGTGTTAAGGTTAAAAAAATGCTTTTAATGTATCACAAATGTTAAGATAACCTAAAAGTTCGAAGAGAACTTCATCTAATGTATCTTAAATACAAGTAATTCCCGTGCTATATGTAAAACCAAAAGAATATGATGAGAAGAATGTGAATCATAATTCTTTTTGTTTTTATTTTTATTTTCGTAATTATTCATTCTTTCAAAGAAAATAAAATGAAATGAAACAGTTCCATCCAATTTCACCATCTTTTTCTCTTCCGTTCCGTTAAGTGAAATCATTTAGAATTATACAACAAATAACATATGTCATTACAATACAGGTAAAAAGAATTCATATATCAGTCAAATGGAAAATTCGAATATTGTAAAAGAATTGGTGTAAGATTTCAATGATCAAAGCCTAATACTTATTCAACTTTTTAAATAAAAAAAAACATACAAATGTTTTCGTGAAACACGAACT